AGAGAGAGAGAGAGAGAGAGAGACTTCAACTTTGGAACTGGGTCACTGGTGGAGCCCAGCCCCCTCTTAGTTTAACTCTATGCTTCCCAGATGCCCTGCCCGTGACATGCCCTGGGGGAGAAGGGGGGGTGACTATCTTATTAAAGAAAGCATCTTATTAAAGAAATACTTGGCATAACTAGCTAATGGCAGCGTCCGGGTGCACGGTGTTTCAGCGCAGGTCTCTTGCATGTTTCTGAAAGTGCCTTTTTGCATGGGGAGGACTGTGGCGAGAAAAAAACCCTGTTTTTTCTCCAGATGGGTTTGTGAGTGGCCGTGTTGCGGCTTCCGGGTTCTTCATCATCAAAGCCTCTGTTGGTGAACAGAAAGGGCTTTTCGGACATTAGACATTGTCAGTTTCTTTGGATATGTAAGATAAAATTTCATTAAAGGAAAAAACCCCTGCTTTTAAAAGGTGTACCTTACTTGCAGAAGACCCTTCCTTTCCACCTTTTTTCCCTAGCCCTCGTATGTAGGGCTGCTTCGTAGTACTTTGGGATGATGAAAATCACAGACGCCACCCCCTCTACACACGCACGCACCCCTGGAATAACATGGGTTGATGATCCCTCACATCCTTACATAGGAGGGGCTCCTGGGAGATTTTGTGTCTTGGGAGAAACCTGCCCGTATCCTCCCGCGCTACTCGCAGGGAGGCACCCGCTGCATCTGAGAGACACCTGCCTACAGACTGAAATCTCCATTCATCCTTGAATCTCTGCTCCAAGCCTGCAAAACTTTTCTTGCCCCCTTTGCTAGTCTTCCAGGGAGAACTGTGGCTTGTAAGCGTTTACTTATCTCTTCAATGCAGTAAACACTCCTCCTCCCTCCAGACCACTCCACCCTCCACATGCACACTCTGGTTCTCTCTTTCTCTCTCTCTCTCACACACACACACGTTCTCTAGCCCATCTGGGAGCAACATGTGATTATTTGAGTTGGCAAGCCTTTTGGTTCTTCTAAATAAATCGAGTAGGCAAGGACATTTGCTGGGGGCTTCCTGGCCAGAAATACGATCCAGCTGCCCCCTCCCAGCTCTGCTCTCCAACCTATTAATCTAAATATTACATGGGTATTTTAGACTTGTAACAGCTGACATCAAGTAACAGAGGCTGTCATGCAAGAGTGTGTGTGTGTGTGTGTGTGTTTCAGGAAAAAAGTTGGACTTTGGCTCAGGAAGAGAAGTACTTAATTTTTAAAAAAGTAAACATTGGCTTTGATGACCAACGAATGGATTTTATTTTATCTCCCAGCTTTCTTTCAAATACTGGGTTGTCCCTTTATTTTTTCTCTCTCTCTTTCTACCCCAGCGAAATGACTTTGGATGAGAGACAGGGACTGATCTGTGGTCTACTTTGTGGATCTTTCTGGTTGGAATCCAACGGGTGCAGCCAGCCTTTCCTTAGTTGGGGACCGTCTGGACAGGCTGGACTGCAGTGCCCAGAATTCCCAGCTGGCCTGTTAGGAACTCTGAGGGCTGTAATTCAAACGCTGGAGCACACACGTTTCCTAGAAGAAGCAAGAAGGAAGCTGTGGGGCTGAGTGGTTGAGTCTGCCTTCTGCCCACTGCTCAAAGTCCACACTAAGCTCCTGATGGAGGGCAGTAAGGGGACCTGGAGAGCTGATTGGGTGCAAGGAACTCAGGAGAGACCTTCTGGATCAAAGCAGAGACTCATTTAGGGCAGCAGCATGTCTCTCTAATGGGCAGTGACAACTCCCAGTGGGAATCCCACAGTCTACTACTGGTGTGGCAGCATGGCCTTCTGCTCATGTGCTGCCTCCAAAGTGACCAGTGGGCATGGCCACAGAACCCTCCAGTCTGCCACAGAGTCATTGGGCCAAGAGCATCCATCGGCGTTGCCTCCCCTCCCCAAAGCAGTGTTGAGGATGGGTTGGGTGGGTGTCATCCACCTGAGTTAGAGAGGTTGAAAGACACATTAACAAGGTCCAAGACAACAGCCAGGCTGGATCTGCTCTTTGGCTAGTGGTCAGGCCTGGTTTTTGAATGGCAAGTGGCCCATGCAGCCCAGAAATTAATTAATTCAGTCATTCATTAATATTTCAAATTTGTCACCACCCATCTCGCTGTTTGTTTAACTGTTTGGAAGATTTTTACATCTCCCCAACTCACATGATCATGACTTCAAACAGCACACACCAAATAAACCTCCCACCACCGATTGGGGTGGAAAATACAACATCAGCAAAAGATCCTCCCCCCAAGTCCATACACCAACCCATCAGACATGTATAGCAGGGACTCGCCAGTCATGCACTCTGCCTCCAGAAGACGGGTTCATCTGTCATCCTGGCTTTAAGCTTTCCTGAAGGCTAACAAGATCAGGGTCCTCTGAATCTGGGGAGGTGGGGTGGGGAGGGGTGGTGGGAGGTCATTTCGAAGGGCAGGCGTGGAAGAGGTCCCATCAGATGTCACTCCCGGCGGGAGGGTTGCTGGAGCCCATCCTGTGAGAGAGTGTGGGACAGGAATTTGAAAAACCCGTGGCAGCGTGTTTCTTGAAAGGGTGTGCGTGAAGATAAAAGATTTCCCTGGAAATTCCTAAAGCGTATTTTGGTTAGCAGTATGCAGCACACTTCAAATTCAAGATGTTTTGAGCTAAGAACCTCCTGTTTCCCATTCCGAATAACCGAATAACACCCCGGCTTTGAGCGTTCTGCACTAATGACAATCCTATTTCAAAATGGGCTGTTTTGAACTTGGGACACTCCCGGAATCTTCAGAGCAGGGTTGGCAGATCTCCAGCAAAACTGGGTCAGCCGCTCTCGACGTTGCACAGTTATTCGAGCTGGCAAGGCAGCGTTTCGATCCTGAAGAGATTCAAATTCGAGAAAGTTTTGCAACCTCTACTTCCAGTAGTTGCAAGAAAGGCACCGTGGGTCATCAGCATTGGTGCCTCTTGTGCAAAGCCCTTGAACGCAGCTGAATTTTCAGGAATGCTGCAGGGGCCACACTTGTCTTAGGAAGATTCGGTACAGGGCAGCCTTTCCCCAGGGCACTGTGGGAGCTGTAGTTTAGCGCAAGCGTGGAGTCTTCTCTCTGGAGGATCTCAGGGCTTCCCAAGACTCACTGAGGACGCCGAGGGGTTTCAGTCACTTTAGACCTGCTTCTTTGGGAGTGAGGTGTGCTGAGGATGCGCATCAGTTGGCAGACTGGGCACCCGTCATTTGCAGATAATAACCTTTTTTCCCCATGAAATTCAGAAGTCAGTTTTTCATGTAGTTTGGCACCTGCTGGGAAGAGTCACCGGCTCTGTTATTTATAGAGATGAATAGGACTAAGTGAATAGACAAGGTTTTGTAAACCGTCGCACACTTTCTGCATTCCGTAGAGGCTTTGGGGGTTTGTAGGTGTGCTTCTCACTTTCTGTGACAGCACCTGCAAGTTCCACCTCTTGTTGGAGACTCTGCTGCGGCAGCCTCCTCCCCTGCTTTTATTTTTCCCCTCCTTAAAATATCTCCTGCTTCTAAGCTTGCGATTTCCCTCCCATCCCGGACCTTATATTCCCCTGATGCTGGCTGCCTTGTGTAATTCGAATGGCTTCCATTTCAGCAACAAATCGCACGTCCTTCTCAAGAAGAAAAAGTCGAAGAAAAAATAGAGGAGGAGAAGGCAGAGAAAACTGAGAAAAAGGAGGAGGAAAAAAGAGATGAGGAGGAAAAAGACGAAAAAGAAGAGTCCAAGTAAGCTCATTGTGTGTGTTTTTAGCTCCGGGGTGTATGTGTGTGTGTGCGTGTGTGTCTTTAGTATTTGCTTAATGTTAGCAAGAAAATGTTTTCTATAAAAGGCCTTTTAAAGAATCCTGGTTGATTCCGGGGACAGTATATTATAACAAGGAATCAAATGAAAGCCGTCAACGTAAGGCCGTAAAACTATCTTCATACAAGCAAAACTGCAATGGCTAAACTCTGGCAAAGCGGACAAAAGCCCATCAGCTCTATAAATTTCTTTTCTATATATATATATATGTTTTGGCCTTGTGCAGAAGGTTTAGTTCATTCTCTTCCAAAATTGGGGCAGCCCTGCAAAAAAGAAGGCACGGCGTGAATGGTGGTGCATTTCAGTTCCACCCCATTTTTGCGTCTGAAGATGCTCGGAGGGCTTATAATTCTGTTCCATGTCCCCAGAGAAAGCTTTCCTTCGACTGACTGACTGTGTGAATATGAGACTCCAGAATGTGGGCTCTTCCCACTCGTGTGAGTGGTTGGCCACGCTCTCTGAAGGAATGCAGAAAAATAGGCTTTGCCTCTCAGGGCGCGGCTCCGTGGTCCTTCCCCTTCTTTCCACAACCACCCTGCAGATTGCAGATGTTTCTGGGGTGATAAATCGCTTTGGAAGGACCTGCTGTCTCTCTGCTAGACGTCTTTTAGAAAAGTATCTTTTTATGTTCCTTTCCCCTGGCCATTAACTTCCATAATGTATTTTTAATAGACATTTCAGTTCTGTGTCTGTCCTTACGCTTTTACCATTACTGTGTGAGACTTCGGGATTTTTTTAAACTGGGGATGGTAGGTAACTTTTTAAAAATAAAAGGTAAAGTCTCCTGCAATCCAGACTGAACTCCCCGTATCTTCACGCGCACATTCATGTTGTGGCTTTTCACTGGGTTCTTCAGGGTTTCTTTCAACTTCCTGGACTAGCTTCCAACCCTAATGGGCTCGCACCCAGTTCAACCCCACTAGTTCCCAAATCCAGACTGAGGTTGAGCAGGTGCTGTCCCCAAAGAAAGTTTAGCCTGGACTTTCTCCAATCTGGCACCCTCTAGGAGGGTCGGGATTCCACCCCCCATTCTATGCCAAATGCCAGGTTAGGTTGACCTGGAAGTTGCTGGTGCCAAAGGGCCCTCGTTTGTTTCCAGAGGCTGTTGCTGCAAGATGAACATAGGAGACTGCCTGTGGTGGATGGCCAAGAGCTAAACTGTCAAAAGGCCATTTGCTGGTGTGCTAGGAACCCACGCCAGGAGTGGTGGGAGAAAGGGCAACACTGAGAGAGAATGATGCCCTGCAGGTGACCTGGGTGACTTGGTTGGGCGAAATCTCAGCTTTCAGTCCAGGATGTCCTGTCCACCACGGCTTCCAGCATCACAATTAGCCTTTTAAAACTTGCCTTCTTGAGTGACCCGGGTTGGCTATTCCCATTCTGTCTTGAGTTCAAAGTAACTTCCCCACATCCAGAATTCTTCGCTGGGCAGGGGTGCCCTTGCATTACAGCCTTTGTAGCTCTTGCCCTTTGGGGCTGGAGCTGCCCACCCACCCAGGTCACAGTGTCCCGGCCACTTTTGACTTCTTTCTGTGTCTCCCCAGGGAAAATATCAAAGAGAAGGAGAAGGTCGAAGCGCCACCCGAGGAGCCCGAGGAAAGGGAGCCCGCCGCTCCGAGAGGGCGAAAGACCGCCAACAGCCAAGGCCGGCGGAAAGGCCGGATCACCCGGTCGATGACCAACGAAGCAGCAGCGGCTAACGCTGCTGCAGCCGCCGCAGCCGAAGAGCCACCGCCTCCACTGCCTCCCCCGCCAGAGCCATGTAAGTCAAGGCCAGGGAAAGGTGGTCCTGGTCCTGGGAATGGTCGGTGACCCGTCTCAGGCCGCCGCTGCTCATTGCAGAAGGTCTTCCGCCAGCCCTGCTTCTGCCTTCCAAGATCCTTGATTTACTTCTCACGCCCACAGTGCCAAGCAGTTTGGGTTTTGAAAGCAGTAAGACGCACCAGTTTCTTCTTGATGGACAGGTGCTGTAAATCACCAGCTCCTGATTGAGATTAAGTGGGATCGGGAAAACCAGAACACATGCAGAGAGGCAACAGAGATCCTCTTCTCTGGCCTCACTGGAACTTTGTCACTCTGGTGCCTCCTCATGTGTTGCAGAGTTTCCTGTAGCCCCAAACACATTAAGCAACCCCAAGAGCCTCCTTTTTCTGGATCCCATATCCCATTCTCACTGTGATTACCGAAAATCAACAGTCCTGTTCCCTCCCAGATTAGAGGCAGGTATGGGAAGACTATCATATCTGCCTTAAAACAGATATAGCACAATTGTAAAAGAACAAAACAACCCCCCCCCCCAATTTTCTAAAACCCAAGAAAGAAAGTGAAATTCTACTCCTCTCCAGATCGGGTGTAGCCCCACCTACTTTGCATTATGGCCCCATCCTCTGCAGCTCTCATTCCCCGCCCCTCCCAAGAAGTTTAAGCTTAGGCTTTACTCAGTAGAAATGAGCCTATCCCTTTTCTAAGGAACAAGAAGAATGTATGCAGGCTTAGGCAAAAGTCACCATGCTGGGAAGGTACTATAACATTTCATTTCTCATCTGGAGCGCTCCAGTCTATCCATTCCAGGTGTGAGACCATCATTTGGAAGGAAAATGGAATATTCCTGTGTTCCCCCAGGAAGTTCCGTACCTGGAATTGTGAGTTTTGCACGCAACTAAGAATATGTGTGGCATTCCAGTTATTTAGAAAAGACAAGTTAAAAAATAGAATCTTTGGAAAAAATAACGTCAAAGTATTTCTATCCTGCCTTGCTCTCTATCAAAGATCCAAGCCAGCCAATTCAGATGAAAGTCACAGGGGGAAGCTGGCTCCTTCTGAGTCTCCTGGTCGATCGCAATCCGCTTTTCTTTACTCAGATTAGCCACTGTGGCCCCAGATTATTTCCTCCCCTTCCTCCTTGGCCGGAGCAGCAGAGATGGTAGCTAAATCCTCTGGGGGGTGCATTTTGAACACCAAGAGGGGCTCACAGTCCACCTGGTCCAGCATCTCTAGCTGTCGCCTTTGGTGTTCTTCTTTTTCTGCCTGATCCTTTTAGCAGGTGGCAGCAGAGATCAGAATCTTTGGTCTCCCAAGCAGTTACTTTCCCCTTAGCTGTGGCCCCCTCCCTCTTCACATAAGCATGGTTAATCTGTTCTGAAATTAAAGTGAACCCTGCGATGCTCGACCAAAGAAGACAGGACTGCATACAGATGTTCAGATAGCAGCGAAGAAAACTGCAATTGCAGGACATGGATTGCCCAGTCTTAGTCATTTTGTGCCTCCCCCTCCCTCCCTCCCCCATCTTTTCTTTTGGTAAAAGCCAAAGGATTTCCATACAATTTTGTTTGAAATTTTCACCTGTGAGGACTGGCTGTGCTGTTCTAAAAATAAGAAGCAAATAAAAGAAATGCACGAATGAGGTTAGTTTATCTTCTGAAACATCACACAGATGGTAGCTGAATGAATTGCTTGTCCTTGACCAGCCCCAGGTCTGAAAAAAATGGCTGCCTGAGAAATAAATCTCTGCTGAATCGCTCCATCTATGCAGTTATTCTTCTGAGTGAAGGGATGATGGAGTATAATTTGGTGCTCAAAAAGGAACTCGGGGTGAAATAATAATTATTAAACATCCATTGCCCACCAATAGCATTTTAGGGAATAAAATACTGCTTTTTTCAGCCACGGCATGAGACTGGGCGATCCATGACCTGCAGGCAATTGTGGCCCCTAACCCCCACTTTTTGCGACCTCCCAATGTCAATAACGTTTGGCAATGAAATGCCAAACGCCAGCAGTGATTCTCCCTGCTGATTTACGCAGGAAATAACCAAAAAAAGCCCTCTTAGGTAGGCTTTACATTCCTAGAAAACTTTTTTATAAATGCCAAAATCCCAAAGAAAAGGAGAAAGGGGATCTGAAAATCCACTGACCTCTAGGCCTCCTCCTTCCACTCCTCCTGCCAAAAGTCGCCTGCCTCTGAATCACAGCTTTCTCAGGTAGAATTGTTTGGTTGAGTGCAAACTGGGGTAGCAAGTGCGAAAAGAATTGGGACCCGCTCAGGATCTTTGGCCAAATACCCAAGAGATCCTCAGGATTTGCAGAAACGCAGAATATATGTTCAAAACGAAAACGTTAAAAAATAAAAAGCATTTACAATATGTAAATGTAAAAAAAAAAAAGCATCAACAATAAACTAAGTGAAACCAGCACAGTTATTGAAGGTACTCCGTGAGTAACAGGAACTCTGGGATTTGTAGAGTCGGGGGGAGAGGAGAAACGGAAATCTAGGGCAGTGGTGGGGAGTGGGATACAGGACCCGCTCCTCATGTCCCTTCTAGCAGATGTTGCTGGAGCTCTGACGGGTGGGGGGGGGGGTCCAGCCCGATCTAGGACGAAGTTCTCCCTCACCGGCTTGCAGCGTCAGAGGGGAGACGTTCTAGTTGGCAGGATTTTCACCGCAGGTCCCACTTGTCTTTCCGTCCCAGCCTGGAAGCGAGCCAGAGCTTACAAGCATTTGCCCTCTCCCAACCCTGTGGGGTAGCCTAGAGCCCACCCTGTCTTGCCATCGGACGTCCGAGGTTATGAGAGAAACCACATTCTCACCGTGTTCCAGAATTAACAACCGAAAGGGGAAACATCCCCCCGGCTTTGGCTGGGTCCGGCAGCATGTTAGGCGAAAATGGGGCTGGTTTGTCTGGGGTCAGTGTGTGGTGCGGGAGCCCAGTTTGGATGATTCCGTAGAGCAGGGCTCGGGGAATTTTGCAAACGTAGCCAGCGACTGCCTTTCTCTGATCGGCTTCTGTAAATTTATGCTGGATTCTCCTACCCTGCCAAGTCAGTTCTCTGGATGCTAAATTTAAAAAGACTCTTGTCATCATATGCCAAAGAGCAGGATTGGCCTCTGGTTCCCCATCCTTTGAATGAAATGAGTGACTAATAGAGTATTTAATTTGGGGTGGTTTGGGTTTCTTCCCCCCCCCCTTCCTTCTGTGGCTGTGTTTCCCTTGCACAATTTCTGTGTGTGACTTGCGAGTGACTGGAACTCGTAGTCCAGAAAACTTTCCCCTTTTGTGCAAAAGCAACCCCTTTCCCACCTGCATTTTGTGCAGACTCACTACTTCTACTTCCTGCCCCTATATACATCCACATTTCCTTTTTTAGAGAAGGCTGTAAGGACTAGAAACCTGATGTTTTATTTGTAAAACAGAGAGCAAAGGTTTGCTGAATGGTTACCCCTGAGCTGTGCTCCTGCTGTTGATCTTGGTCCTCTGTGGGCAGTGACACGGCTAGGATTCCCCAGTGTTTTGAGTTAAGTCAGTGCTGTAAGATTGATTGATTGATTGATTGATTACCAATGAGGGATGAGCAGTTAATGACAGGGTTTAAATAATCCAGCTCTGAGGGAGCAGGTTCGATTTGTGAGCAAAGGCAGGGGGCTCAAGAGGATCCCCATTCATTTGCTGCCCCAGAGAGGCTCCACCGATTCAGCCGGAGGCATTTTTGAGGCGTCCGACTGGAGAAAATTTCATTGTAAGATGGGATCCGGCCTGGTGCTGGTTACACAAGAGACAGATTTGTCCACCGGCTTGATGGGCACTTTTCATAAAGCAAAGAAACAGAACTATAGATACTGTTGGAACGTGGCATCCTTCCGTGCCTGCCTCCAAATTGGGGTTCTGCTTTTCCCAGAAATCAGAAATGCAGGGGACGGGGAGAGAAAGGCGCTCCCAGGTAACATCAGGGCACAGCGGGATCAACCACCCCGTGGCGTGCTTCTTGTTTGTGTTGCTTCGGTCTCCGTTGTGTGTGTGCGCGCGGCTCCACCGCTGCCCCGGGGCATGGCTCCCCTTGAACGAAATGGGGCGGGCCCTGGGGAGCTTTCTCCAGCCGAAGGGCAGGCCCCTGGGCGAGACGATAAGGGATCTTCCCAGCAGCATCTCCGGACGGCCCTCGTTGCATGAGCTCCTGCCCTCCCGCACACGAGGGGGATCTCTTTCCCTCCTTCCCTCCCTCCTCCTCCTCCTCCTGCTCTTGTTTTTTTTGATGTAACCAGAACTGACGCCCTCCCGCTGTCAGTGGGCATCATTCCCAAGCAGCCTGAGCAGGCCTTCCTGTAAACAGATTAATAGATTATGCGGAAAGCACAAGTCCTGGCCCTTTACACCATCTGACCGCGTCTTTCTCTCTCTCTCTCTCTCTCTCCTCCGCCTCGTTTCAGCTTCCGCGGAGCCTGTGGAGACCTCTCGCTGGACAGAAGAAGAGATGGAAGTTGCAAAAAAAGGTAAAACTGAAGCAGGAAGAAAA